AAAAAAAAAAAAAAAAAATAGAAACAAAAGAAAGAGAGGAATCTCATTGGTTCCCATTAGATTTAAGATTTAAAGTGATAATGCAAAATAATATGAGAAAAAATACTATATTTAATAATATTTTTGGATTTCTTCAAATTTAATATAAAATTATAATTTTCAAAATTACCATATTTAGAGTGGGAAAACACTTTTTGAAGAAAAAACTTGGATAATCCATCAAATTTGGAATTTAGAATTATATATTAATTAAACTTAGTGACTTTTAAATAAAGCCAAAAATTCATTTGTTTTATTTTCTTTGAAATGGTAGAAATGTTGACTCTTTTAATTACTCAAAAGCCGTAGATTATTTGCCTGTTCGCAAATTTTGGTATGAAATATGGTTTTCTGTGTTCTTTCTATCTTTTTCTTTTAATTAGACATCTCTCGAAAAAAGGAAAGACGTCTAGGAACGAAGTCGTAAGTGCACAATATGCCGAAGACCTTAATATGAAAGAAAAAAGGAAGCGCGAGCGTGAGATGCCCGAACATTGCATGAACTAGAACATTCTTTATATATTTTAAAATTGTCAAGTGACCCTAAATGGTACTTTTGATGATATCTATGATTTGAGCAAAAAAATTTGCCGAGGAAGAGAAATGTTGGAGGAGAAGCGAAATGACAAAACATATATTTCTTGAACCATGATAAGTATAGAAATATTATATGCAGCATCTCATTGAACCATGATTTTTATTTTGAGATTTCGTGCATGTTGTATGTCAATGATTATGAATTAGTTCTCTAACATGTTATGAATGAATACATATACCTCGATATTATTCGTGTTCTCCTCTTTTTTGTTGGTTTTTAGAAGCGTGAGCATGCTAGCCCATAGTCAAACTTAGGGAATATGTTAACGAGCCCACCTAGTGGGTTCACCCAACCCTACTCGAAAGAGAAAGTAGAACCCAAAAAACAATTATAAAAAATTAGGCCCCACCAATCATGATACATATTGTATGTGCACGCATTTTCCAATTCTAAGAGTGAAGTCACTTATGATGTTTACCATGTTATTGAGGTAAAGATAAATAACTCATGCATGGTTGACTCTACTTAGGTGTTGCTAAACCTTATTTTTAAATATGTTTTCACCTCGTTTACTTTAAATATTGTTGGACTCATTTTCCAATTCTAAGAGTGAATATATTTTAGTTTTTAAATAAAATATCTATAAAAAATTCTTGAGTGTGATAATCTACATAATATACCTAATTGCAATGGTGGTAGGGGAAGATCTAAGCTATAATTGCCTTGTTTTCTGAAAATAAAATTAAATAAAAGAAAAGAAAAAAAATCTAATATATACCTTAGACAAAAAATCTAATATATAGCTTAACAATCTAATATTTTTTTAGATATGCTTCTATCATAAAATGCCTTTCTCCCTCAAATCTTAGACATTTTTTTTTTTTTTTTATGCTTTTATCATAAAATGCCTTTCTTCCTCAAATTTTGACTTCTGTTTCTTTTTTGCATAACTTGATATTCAGGTGTGAGGGGTTATTTTTGCAAAACCTATATTGTAGCCTATTCTAGCATGACCACGACTTGGTTGACAAGAGATAGTTTGGAAAAGGGATGAGACCTTATGGAGAGAAGTGTGGGGTGAGGTTTTTTTAACGTATTCTTTTTTTTTTCTTCATTTATTTGGGACTTATATTAGTTATATATGAAAGTAAAATTAAAATTATCTAAAAATATCTCAATAATATCTCATAAATCGTATGTGCTGTCATATTAAAAAATATTCTAACTTTTTTACCCCTTAATTCTTTTTTTTTTTTTGGAGAAAAGCTGAAGTCTCACGAATTAACTTTCATATTTATGTCCATAATTGTTAAATTATAAATGTTAATCAATGAGGTAGAATTAAAATTATATGCTCATAGGTAATGGAGATTTTGAATATAAGGTAAAGAAATATTATTATCAAAGTTTTAGAATAAAAAGATTTTAAGACTAAATTATTCTATTTCACGCCCATTATTAGAGTCTGTCACCCTAAAGTTGAATCATCTCATTAGGAGGCTTTGTAATACATCGAGAACCTAATTAAGCTTGCTACTTTTAGGAGGCATCATAATAAATTTAATGGTGGGCTTTTAGGAGATGTTTCTCAATTTGGGCCAGTTGGAATGCGCATCTTGGTGCCTAAACCCAATTGAGGCTTTTCGGGAGATTTTGCTAGATTTGGTCCAATTGGGACACGCCTCTTGGTGCCTAAACTTGAGGGAGGGCTTTCAGGATTTTGCTAGATTTGGTCCAATTGGGACACGCCTCTTGGTGCCTAAACTTGAGGGAGGGCTTTCAGGATATGTTACTGGTTTTGGGCCATTTGGTACACGCCTCTTAGGGCCTTGAGGCAATGTAGGCGTTATGGGAGATGTTGCTGAATTTGGTCTAGTTAGGACATTTTTCTTGGTGCCTAAATTTGGGGGAGGGCTTTCGTGAGATGTTGCTGGATTTGGGTCAGTTGGTACATGCCTCTTAGTGCCTAAACCCAATGGAGGCATTTCGGGAGATGTTGTTGGATTTGGTTCTATTGGGACACACCACTTGTTGGCTAAACTTGAGGGTGGGCTTTCAGGAGAAGTTGGTGGATTTGGGCCAGTTAGTATACGGTTCTTAGTGCCTTGACCCAATGGAGGCGTTTCGGGAATGTTGTTGAGTTTGGTCCTATTGGGACACGCTTCTTGATACCTAAATTTGAGGGAGGGCTTTCAGGAGATGTTGTTGGTTTTTGGCCAGTTGGGACACGCCTCTTAGCTCCTAGACCCAATGGAGGCGTTTTGGGAGATGTTGTTGGATTTGGTCCCGTTGGGATACGCCTCTTGGTGACTAAACTTGACGGAAGGCTTCAGGAGATGTTGCTGGATTTGTGCCCGTTGGGACACGCCTCTTAGCTCCTAGACCCAATGGAGGTGTTTCGGGAGATGTTGCTGGATTAGGTCCAGTTGGGACACGCCTCTTGATACTTAAACTTGAGGGAGGGCTTTTAGGAGATGTTGCTGGATTTCGGCCCGTTGGTACATGCTTTTTAAGTCCTAAAGAAAATACATTGCCACTCCACTTGTCTCAAGAGAATTGAGATTAGACAAATAGCAACAAAAGAGATCAACAAGAGTACATAAACCCTATTGACATTTTTTTAGCAAATCCGTTTTGTGGTCACACAAATATTCTACCTCTAAATCTCACATCTTTATAAACTCTTCTAAACAATCTCAACTCTTTATAAACTCTTCTGAACAACTACTTTAATGTAGTAATAAATTATATTTTTTTGGTTGAGTTTTCTAATTTATGGGTAACAAATGATTTTCGGAAACTAATTATGCTATATAAAAAAAAGATATCTAACCATTTTAATCTATTTTATTTTAGAAAAACTTCATCCAATTTAATTTGAATTCTAGAATGAAAATATTTTCATTTAATTTGAAATCTAGTTATAATGAAACTTCATCTAACTCTCCACCCTCACACCTCATTCCCCAAATATCTTTTTCCATAACTAAATTATAATGAAACTTTTATGAAAATTTAAAGGTACTTTTTTTAAACAATTTTTATTCCTAACTAATTATAAGAATATTTTTTTTTTATTTTTTTTAAAAATTAACTCCAATTTTTTTTTAACTTTATTAGAAGTTTAATGGTATTATTGGAACTTTAGACTATTTTTTTTTTAAATTTAAATTTCTTTGTTTTTTTTTTTACTATTTTTTAAAAAACAAATTTAGTATTTACTATTTGAAAATGTACATTATTCCTATAAATTTTTTTAGATTGGCTGTGGATCTTCATACCATCTTTATAATCACCCAACATAAAAAAGAAAGAACAAAAAATGAATGATTTAGTGTTATTTATGCTATTCATTTTTCCACTTTTCTCTCATCCATTTCTTGCCATTGCTGACTCATCATCGGACCTGAACCATTCCCGTAGATCTCTTTCTACTTTCCTCTTCACTTCTCCGCCCCCTCCAGCGGCATTCCTCTTCACCTCTCCGCCACCTCCTGTGCGAAGCTTGTTTAAATCTTCACCCCCGGCAACATTTCTCTTCCCCTCTCCGCCACCCCCGGCGGCGTTTCTTTTCCCCTCTCCGCCACCTCCTACGCAAAGCTTCTTTAAATCTCCACCTCCGGCGGCATTTCTCTTCCCCTCTCCACCACCCCCGGCAGCATTTTTCTTCCCCTCTCCGCCACCACCTACGCGAAACTTCTTTAAATCTCCACCTCCAGCAGCGTTTCTCTTTCCCTCTCCACCCCCTCCGCCGCAGCCAATGGAGTGATGTGAAGACTGTACAGAAGATCAACCACGCTAGAGAAGATAAGCTATTGGTGAGAGAGATATTCTCAATAAGAGATGAACATTTTTAATTCAAGCCCTTTAATGATGTAACATACAAATCTTATTATCACTACTTTTATTTTAATAATACGTTTATCATTATATAAATACAACTTTATTTCACGTTTAAAAATATTCATAAATTTTCAAAAATAGTATTAATATTTTTAATTTATTGAAGAGAACTTCTGTAATAATATTTGGATGAAAAAATATTATAGTTTTAAAATTACAACAATTTTGATTTATTATTATTATTTTTTTTTTTTTTTTACAATTTGGATCAAATTAAATATTAAAAAAATAAAAGGAGAATTTTAAGTTCAAATTCACTTTGCAACACCTCCTCCAACAACATAATGATCACTGGTAGGCAATAAAAAGAAAAGAAAAAATAGTAAGATTTACTGTGAGAGAGAAAAAGGAAAGCAAGACTTTATACCGGTTTAATTGAGAGAGAAAAAAAAAATTAGATCTTCTATCTCTTTTACTCTATTTCAATTATTTAGATTTTTACCATCATTTTAGAAAATCATGATCAACAACATTAAAATGGTAAAAAAAGAAGAATCTACTAAAATTGAATAAAGATAAAAAAGAAAAAAAAGAAAAAAAAAAGCAGAGAAAAAAAAAATCATTAAAATGGTTGAAAGATAGTTATAAAAAGAATTAAAAGCAAGGAGAATAAAAAATGGAAGCCTTTTATGATTGGATTAAAATGGGATAAAGATAATTGTTAATAAAATTAAAAGAAAAAGGAGGGGAATAGAATAGTCAATTTTGATGTTTACGGTCAAACACAACTTAACTTCTAAGAATAAGAATTATAAAGGATAAACCATGGAAAAATAATTGAATTTGAAATATCATAGGACTAGAAACCAGATAATACTCTAACATAAAATAAATTCATCAAATTCTTTTATATGACAGTAGCTTATATCTTCTAGAAAAATGGTTAACTCCGTCTATAAACTTGTTACATGAAAGTTCGAACTTGAAACTGATGTCATGAGCACACGTAGGTTAACTTGGATTTCAAAAGACAGAATCAAACTTTCATTAACGATAAATTTATGACAACAACTTAAGCTAATCAGGTAAGTTGTCTTTCTGTCGGCTCGGTCGGAAGACTTGTCTTATGTATGACGACACGTGTCTAGTGGCCCTTGCACGTGTCATTTATGCTTTATGTTATATGATGATGTGATGACGTTAAATGATGATGTGTTGATGTTATATGATGATGTGATGATGTACATGATGTTGACATGATGACGATGATGCATAATAATAAGATGATGAGACGTATGATGATAAAATGCCTTAATATGACAATCTTCCGTATTAAGATGTTGTGCATGTATTAAATGTCACAATGCATTATGACGACAAGTTTTCAAAGACACAACCCTAGTTAATGTTAATGATGATGAATATATGAATGCCAATGCATGCATGTTACTTAGAATAATAAGTGAATGGTGTATAGTGTTCTATCTTAAAGATGATTTAAAAATGAAAACTGTGGGGATCTCGTGCATTTTGTGTGTTCATATATATCGGGATAATTCTCTACTAATGATGATGAGCGGGGATGCGCACAGTATGATGATGAAGGTGTTCATGGGGAGCAATTGACAATCAACGCTTGATTAATAATTGTCAATTGGCTGATGTGAGAAGCAATCCAGAAAAGAAGACTTGAGGAGTACTTGAAGTTGATGCTTTATCCTCTATCAATGCTTAATTAGCTTCGGTGACTAATATTCTACAAAATCTAGCATTGGGAGAAGGTTCCATGAATAAAGCACCCGTCCAAATTGCTGTTGTAATGACCCAAACAGCACCTGAATCTTGTGTATATTGTGGAGAAGAACAAAGTTTTGTTTAACGTCTAGTAATCCAACATCAATTTTTTATGTGAAGAATCAAGCTAATAAGGCATCTAAAAAATAATCCCTTCTCAAAGACTATAATTCAGGGTGGAAAAACTTTCAAAACGTCTCATGGAAGAGACAAGTCTTATACAATCAACAAATGTCATCCTCCAACTAAAAGACCGAACTTTCACTCATATAGAAGGAAAAATAGAAGATATTCTAAGTCAAGTGGACAAGTTCATATATCCAACAGGTTTTATCATTTTGGATTATGAAGCGAACCATGAATACCAATTATCTTGGAGAGAGCATTTTTGAAAACTAGAAGAACAATTGTAGATGTCCACAACAGAACTATAATGTTGAAAATGAATGATTAACAAATAGAATTTAATATCAATGACAACATAAAATATTCAGCAATAGTAGAGAATCGATCAACAATTTATAAATTGACAAAGAATCCAGTAGCTGATAGTTGAAAACAGCAACAAGAAGAAGACAACAATTGGAATAATTGCACTAAACAGCAATTAGAATTGGATGAACTCGTAAGATATGTTTAATCACTGGAATTATAGGAAAGAAAAAATTCATCAATAAAGTCATATATTGAGAACATACCCTTGAACCTTAGAAGTAGAGCTATTTGATATATAGGGGATAGATTTCACAATATTATTTCCACCCATAAAATTATTTCTTTGACAATGGATAACTGAAAAAAAAACAATTGAGGAAAAAGGAGCTGACAAACCGTAAACACGTAACAAGCTCCAAGGAAACCAAGTTAGTTTTTTTTTTCTTTTTATTTATGCACTTGCATAGTTGCATTACTTTCCTTGGAATGATAGATTTTTTTCTAGTCATTATTTTTACTCTTTGTCGTGAACAACTTGCATGCCCCAACCAAAGGTAGTCAACTTATGTATGAGAATTAATCGTACTTGAATGTGGTTAATTTCAGCATATTAGGGAGGCCAATTGGTTTTAGTGCATTAGGATGTGATCGATGATAAATCTTATTTTCGTGTAGTGCGCGTTGCCACATAGTTTCTTGTTCATCTTCATTTGCATTTGGTCTTATTTTATTTAAAATCATGTACACCTTTTCATGCAATAATATGCAATGACACGAACAACAAAGAAAAATTTTTAGAATGGAGAGATCCAAATTCGTCCTAGAAAATTTGCTAACCCCTCCAAGAAAAAAATCCATATGGAATAAAGAAATTGATAGAAAATAATCATTGTGCATTATCGGGTAAGCTTGAAATGAAAAGACAACAAGAGTGACAAGAGAGGGGCTGCTACACATCATAAATAGAATGTTGGAGCAGACATGCAAACATACAGCAGTAGGTAGACAGATAGCAGACTTGTAGCAAAAATAGTTCGACAGATAGTAGATTTACCGCAGAAGTATTTCCAAATTTTTTTGGAGGAAATTTTTAAAGAATGGGTCACATCAAATTTTCACATGTGATAGAAGAGGAAGAGAACGCTTCCTCTAACGGTGCATAACGACAAGAAAATTCTTTGAACACACCCTTTACAACCTTAATGTCTTACTTAGAAGCATGTATCCATATTTTGTAGTTATTTTTATTTTGTTGTCTGCATATAATTTTGAATGATGTCCATGCACCTTAGAGGCATGAGTTTTATTAGGTAGAGTAATATATCATGCATTGTCAAATATGTAGTATAGATCTTTTGGGCAAGAACTAGAAATCCAATGTAAAATGCTTTAGTATGATAAATAAAACAGTAAGATAAAGAAGTGTGTTTTTAAAAAAATTTATTATAACGGTGAGTTAATAAGTTCCACTTAGAAAAAAAAGTTATTAACCTACATTAATTTTAGGATAATTGTTTAGGGAAATTATTAGTCTTTACTTAGTAAGATTTGTGAGCATTTCTTAATTTGATGAGAAAGTTTAGGAGATCGTTGTACTTTCTCCACTTTTAGTACTCATGATATGTATGTTATTTTCACAACAATAAATTGAAAAGCATAAAAGCTTAAGATTCCTCTATTCAAGAACTCTCTCCTCTCAAATTGTTCTACTTCAGTTATTTGTTTTGAAATATTTCGACCATGGGTTATTTCCAACATTTGGAATTAGAGCTCCCAAGATGGTGAAACAAATGCCGTCACCATATAAATTCATCGGAGGAGAAGTGACAACGATAAAGAGTGGAAAGGATGGGAGTGCAACGCTCCAGTACCCGTTACTCAAAAAGAGTAACTACGCAACATGGTCGATAAAGATGCATGTTGACTTATAGGCACAAGGTGTGTGGTATGCCATCGAGCATTTTGACATTGAGGAGCGTAAGGAAATGTATGAGGTAAGGAAATGTATGAGTTAAGTAATCTTCCTTTTTGGACCATGTATGAGTTTTAGGAAATGTCGTAGCCATTTGAACAGAGGAAGTAAGAATTCATTAAAAAAAATTGGCTAAAACTAACTATGAAGAAGAAAATAAACCGAGATAAAAAGTAGGGGTGTACATGATCCGGGTTGGGTTGGGGGATTTTTTTTTTTACCCAACCCAAAAGTTTGGGTTCGTTGGATTGGTAACACAACCCAACCCAAAAAATTTCACAGCCCAACCCTCTACTTTCGGGTTGGGTTATCGGGTTGTCAACTCTAACAAAAATTAAAAAAAATTATTTATCCACAATTCATAATTATTAAATAGAATTTTAGGTAAAAAATATTAAAAGTTCACCTACCGACACAAATCAATCTATAATAATTTAAAAAATAGTTATCAACAATAACAAGAAAATTGTAACATCTTAACATAACTAACATTATTACATCACTAAATACAACTAAATTCCTATCCTTCTTGAGAATTGATTACTCTATAAGTAAAGAAAATATAAGGAAAAGATAGATGATCAAAATGAAAAACAATAAAAATGATTAGTTTAAATAAACTATACCTATCAAATAAAAAAATATTGCAAAAATACGTTGAAATAGATTTACTTAAGTTTGAGTGCCTAAATAAAAAAAAAAAAAAAACAATAATGTTGCCACCTAAAGATAA